GGAATGAATTTATTACAAATAATGAAGTGTTGGAAAGATTTGAAATTGAAGACATCAACACAACAATAAAAAAAAAAGAAGATGATAATAATTGGGACATGTTCTGAGAATGCCAAAGACAGGATTGCCTTATCAGACATGGCATTAGAAACCAACTGGGAAGAGAAAGCGGGGAAGACCAACTGGAAGCAACTGAGGCACAATAAGAGATAAAGCAATCGCCAGGACTTAGAAGTGCCACAATTAGAGAAAGTGGCCGGGACAGACATGCGTGGCGTCGACTGCTCCCGCCTTATGTACCTGACGGTATAGGGAGAGCGTAAGTAAGTAAGTAAGTAAGAGGTAGGATGCACTGACGTTGGTACATAATATTAATGTGTTGTTTGATGTAGGATACGTAGATGTTAGTACATAATAAGGTGTTTTTAGATGTAGGATGCCCAGATGTTGCTACACAAGGTGTTGTTAGATGTTGGGTACCTAGCCGCTGGTAATTGATACTGTGTTGTTGAGCATACGAAATGCTGTTCAGATGTATCGTTAAAAACACTTGGGTACTTTTTTAAAATCTTCTCCAAAGGAGTATAGCAAGAGGTCTTCTCGGCGGTCCCCCGGTCGGAAAAAGCGCAGACGAAAGGCGGACAACGTCCAGGTGCGTGGACAAACCGCTGCCTCAGAATTACAAAGTTCTATCTGACATTTTTTGACGTTTTGAGTTACTAAGACCATGAGGCCAGAAACCGAATCTTCTGTATGCTCCATCGATATCGTAAGATTGTCCAGAGTCGTTATCAAGATATTCAAAGAATAATAATGCTTGATATATTGTGAAACGCAACATTTTTCATGTCAAATTTCTCAAAAGTAGGTACTGAGCAGATAGAACTTTGGAATTCTAGGGTAGCAAAATGGTGACATACTTAACCCTATCCGTACGCCCTGGGGTCATTTTGTACCCCCGGGGTTGTATTCTTCACATTTTAGAATACTTCTAGGGCGAAGATCTCTTTGAACCTTTCGGTATAATTTCCCAAAAACTAATTTTGACAGACTGCTATGCAAAGCGTACGCATCGGATAAACGAGTAAATTTCCTCTTTGGAAAGTGGTGGCACAGAGTTCCGCACGTCGTATGGATACGATAGTAAAAACACAAAGTGCGGATAGGATTAATGAATGAGTTCTCTAACTCTTGTAGTGGCCTGGAGTGTTTTGTGTGAGGGGAATGCGATGAAGGAAGCAGTGAGTTTTGCCTTTTTGTTTGGGCTATCTGTCGTCATTTTCTGGCCGCGCCAGTTGTTTGTTCAATGTACCGGTAGAACACGACAGACGTCAGTACTTACGCTGTTTTCTGTAATGAATGTTTTATTTATTTCAACATTGTCGTCTGATTTCCAAATGGACACAGGTGGTTGGAGGGCGCCGCTGGAAGGTCCTAGATCTTTCCTTTCCCTCTATTGGTTCACTCTGTCTGTCTTTCTTTTTCCCGGCATTATTGTGTTCTTCTGCTTCCTCTTCCTCGTAACAAACAAACAAACAAACAAACAAACAAACAAACAAACAAACAAACAAACGTGGATGGTTGGCGTGTTCTCTGGAGTGGTTCGCTTCTTCTTTCCTATCCAACATCTATCGTTCTGATCTACCCTTCTTCTTTTTTATACT